TATCATGTCAATATGGACCAAACTCTCTGAGGAATGTTTCCAGTACCTTGTTGAATCTGTGCCACGAAGGATTAAGGCAGTTCTGAAGGCAAAAGGGGGTCCAACCCGGTACTAGCAAGGTGTACCTAATAAAGTGGCCGGTGAGTGTATATACACGCATAAATATGTGCTATTTAATTTAAAAGTCCTTGAAATAAAACAAGTTAGTGTTTGCATGGAGATTCATGTCAGCAACAGCTGGTGACTCTGCTCACCTTCCTTCAGCCTCTCCCTCGCCTTCTGCCTTATTTGATTGGGAGATTTCAACAAGTCATCGTCATCCTGCTTGTCCGCGGAGGACTTCCCGGTTCTGCTGCCCGTCTTGTCCTCCTCGTCTGCCTGCTCCTGGCCTCCTTCCTTCTCCCCCTCCTCTCCCTCCCCCTCCTCCTCCTCTTTTTTCGTCTTCCCCTCCTCCGCATCTCCTTCTTCCTTGGTGAACTCCATCTGAGAGTCCTCCGTCTTGACATCAACAGCTTGGACCTCTAGCGCCAGCTTAGCTTCCTCCGCCTCGTCCGGGGTCTGTCCATCTTGGCGTTGGTCGCCCTCTTCTGCTGTGACAGCGTCCTGCTCTCCCTTCTCCCCCGGCTGCATGGGCTCCTCTGAGGTGGGGAACTTGCGGACCTTGTCCCCGCTGGGGCCCGGCCAGGAGCTTGCTCCCTGGTTCAGAGAGGTGATGGTGTCCAGGATGGACATGGCGTCGCTCGCCGCCGTTGTGGGCGGGGCGGCCGGTGGGACTGAGAAACACAGAAATACATAATTTTACAATCATCATGTTATCATCGTTGTGCGCCAGTTGTGAAGCTGTGCCTATCTCACTAGGAGAGTACTCTCGTGAAACGCTTCATCCTGAAGGAAACAACCTGGGGAGGTTCATGAATTAACAGTTTCTTCAGCACTGCAGAGGGACTCAAGCGGGGGTCCCTGGACCCGCTGAACCACTTTTTTTTATATTGTATGAAATAGGGGTTTTCAATCTTTTTCAAGCCAGGGACCCCTTAGAATGGATACATATTTACAAGGACCCCCTACCATTGTTAAAGTTTGCAACCTAAATGAACATGATTGAACATGCATTGAACATGGAACAGGAAATGTATTAATAACGTGCATTGGAAATCTTGTGTTTCCCCTTATGTCTCAATGAACTTTCAAGTTATGTCCCCCTTGACAACAAATTCCTTGCATGTGAAAACGTACCTTTTCTGATTCCCAACCCTCATGGAAAAGACGTGCCTCCTTCTGGCTTTGAATAAGGGCGACAGTATCGTGCGCTTACCTTGCTCCAGAGCGCTGCATTCGGGCTTAACATCGGCGGCGGGGACCGGGACGGGCGGCTCGTCGCTACAGCTGCCGGGCGACAGGAACTCCCTGACCACTCGCTCCACCTGCGGCCTGAAGGTGTGGTTGATTTTGGGATCGACCACCTGGGCCACGATGCGGTCCACTCCCTGCTCCAGCATACCAGACCTGGAAAATAAGAAATACAATAAAAACACGCCCATGCTCACGACTAACGTGCGTTAGGGGGATAGGCACGCGTGTCCCCACTTACTGTAGCACCAACTGCCTTATGTTGTTCCTGAGCTGGTTCTTGTTCAGGTGTGGACTCCATGTGTGGTTGGACAGGTGGTTGGAGACAAAGTTGTCCACCCTCTGTTTCAGGTTTAGGTAGGCGGGCTGGATGTGATGATGGGGAGGGAGATGAACATGAATATCCACACCCCCCACAGACAGACACAGACACAGACACAGACACACACACACACACACACACACACACACACACACACACACACACACACACACACACACACCAACAGCAGCCCATGGTCAATACAGTGCAGTTTTAGGTTTTCAACGACATAACATAATGCGTTTGATTCAACTGCACCTTAGTGTCCACGTCTGCCAGGCAGTCCCTCCTGAACTGGTCAAACAGACCCTGTGTTTTCAAATGGCTGACGATCATGGAGACCAGCTGGGGGTCCCCAGGTGGTAAACCGGCCATACGGCGCTGGACTTAACGAACAAGAACCGCTTGGAGAAATTAAAATTATAATAATAATATGAATAACAATAACAGCTTTCGTAATTCATCCGTAAACATTCAAATCTGAGTCCCCCCGCCCCCGGATTTTCTGTTATGGTTGTTCAACTTCTGAATGGCGGTTTGACCCGGAAGTAGAAAGCAGCACTGTGGTGTGTCGGCGCGCGCGGCAGGGTGGCGCCGCCTAGCGGTGGCCACGAAAGCAGCGTGTTGTCATGAAGATTTATGACACGCGTTTATTAATTTCATTGTTATTCGGTAAAATCGTGTCCACGTCTACGATCGGAGGTCTCCCGCGTCGCTGTTGCATTTCGTATTGACTGTGAATTTATTGTCTTTCAGCAAAACCGTACTGACAGCGGTGGGATTCGAACCCACGCCTCCGAAGAGACTGGAGCCTTAATCCAGCGCCTTAGACCGCTCGGCCACGCTATCGTGTAGCACAGGCTGTGCGCGCACAAAACTATTACGAAATTATATAATTTTCCTGACAAAATATATGATTAAAAACGCGTAATCATACACGTCGTACCGCATTCCCTACCACAAGATATCGAAAGCGTAAGAGACTTTTTAACAGCTTTAACAACTAGATGTAAGAGCTGGGTCAGCTAGCCTACCTGGTGACGGGTCGGCTACCTGTAGGCGGGTCGGCTACCTGGTGATGGGTCGGCTACCTGTAGGCAGGGTGTTTTCCGTGGAGCCGTGTCGCTGTTGAACTTCATATTGAATGTGAATTATTGTCTTTCAGCAAAACCCTTCTGACATCGGTGGGATTCGAACCCACGCATCCGAAGAGACTGGAGCCTTGATCCAGCGCCTTAATAATAATAATAATAATAATAATAATAATAATAATAATAATAATAATAATAATAATAATAATACATTTTATTTCGAAGCGCCTTTCATGTCACTCAAGGACGCTTTACAGTTTAAAACAAGAGCAAACAAGTAACAACCATTAAAAGTGCAAGTAAAAAACATCATGACAACTACAATGAGAATGCTGTCCTGAAAAGGTGGGTTTTGAGAGAGGATTTGAACTGAGGGAGGGAGTCAATATTTCTGATGTCAGATGGGAGTGAGTTCCAGAGTTTGGGAGCAGAGCGGCTGAAAGCTCTGCTCCCCATGGTGGTGAGCCGGGCAGAGGGGACAGTGAGGTGGATGGAAGAGGAGGATCTTAGGGAGCGGGTGGAGGTGGCAGTGTGAAGGAGGTCAGACAGATACGGAGGGGCGAGGTTGTGGATGGCTTTGAAGGTATGAAGGAGAATTTTGAAGTTAATACGGAAGTTAATTGGAAGCCAGTGGAGTTGCTGTAGGATGGGGGTGATGTGGTGGAAAGAGGGGGTTTGGGAGATGATACGAGCAGCTGAGTTCTGGACCAGTTGGAGCTTATGGAGGGATTTCTGGGGGAGACCAAATAGGAGAGAGTTACAATAATCGATACGGGAGGTGACAAGGCTATGTACAAGAATAGAGGTGGTGTGGGGGGTGAGGGAGGGACGGAGGCGATTTATATTACGAAGATGGAAGTATGCAGTGTGGGTGGTGATGTTGATATGGGATTTGAAGGAGAGTGAGCCATCGAGGATGACACCCAGACTCTTCACCTGGGGGGAGGGGGAAACTATGGAGCTGTAAATTGAGAGGGAAAAACTGTCAACTTTGGATAGAATGGATTTAGTACCAACTACCAACTTTATCACAACTTTCTCAAACTTAACAAGTTTCAGGAAGTTAGAAGTGAACCAGGTTTGTAGTTCAGAAAGGCAATCTGTCAGGGAGGAGGGAGGGAGGATGGAGTTGGGTTTGGTGGAGAGGTAGTTGACTTAGACTGCTCAGCCACGCTATCGTGTAGCACAGGCCGCCCGCTGACCTGCCGCAGTGGCCGGTCAGCTATCTCAGCTACCTGTAGGTGGGTCAGCTACATGTAGGCAGGTGGCGGGTCAGCTACCTGTAGGCGGGTCAGCTTCCTGTACGCAGGGTGTCCTCCGTGGAGCCGTGTCGCTGTTGAACTTCATGTTGAATGTGAATTATTGTCTTTCAGCTACAGCTGAGCTTTTCAGCTTTCAACCCACGCCCCCGAAGAGCCTGGAGCCTTAATCCAGCGCCTTAAATCGGTCGGCCACACTATCATGTTGCACGGACCTGCTGCAGTCGCATGTCAGCTACCTCAGCTACCTGTAGGTGGGTCAGCTACATGTAGGCAGGTCAGCTACCTGGTGGCGGGTCCGCAACCTGGTGGCAGGTGGGGGGTCAGCTACCTGTAGACGGGTCAGCTTCCTGGTGCGCTACCTGGTGGCGGGTCAGCTACCTGTAGGCGGGTCAGCTTCCTGTACGCAGGGTGTCCTCCGTGGAGCCGTGTCGCTGTTGAACTTCATGTTGAATGTGAATTATTGTCTTTCAGCTACAGCTGAGCTTTTCAGCTTTCAACCCACGCCCCCGAAGAGCCTGGAGCCTTAATCCAGCGCCTTAAATCGGTCGGCCACACTATCATGTTGCACGGACCTGCTGCAGTCGCATGTCAGCTACCTCAGCTACCTGTAGGTGGGTCAGCTACATGTAGGCAGGTCAGCTACCTGGTGGCGGGTCCGCAACCTGGTGGCAGGTGGGGGGTCAGCTACCTGTAGACGGGTCAGCTTCCTGGTGCGCTACCTGGTGGCGGGTCAGCTACCTGTAGGCGGGTCCACTTCCTGGGGGCAGGTCAGCTACCTGTAGGCAGGTCAACTACCTGATGGCGGGTCAATTACATGTAGGCGGGTCCGCTTCCTGGTGGCGGGTCAACGACCTGTAGGCGAGTCAGCTACCTGGTGTTGGGTCAACTACCTGTAGGCAGGGTGTCCTCCGTGGAGCCGTGTCGCTGTTGAATTTCGTATTGAATGTGAATTATTGTCTTTCAGCAAAACAAGACTGACAGCGGTGGGATTCGAACCCACGCCTCCGAAGAGACCGGAGCCAGCGCCTTAGCCCGCTCGGCAACGCTATCGTGCAGCACAGCCCGCCCGCTGACCTGCCGCAGTGGCAGGTCAGCTACCTCAGCTACCTGTAGGTTGGTCAGCTACATGTAGGCAGGTCAGCTACCTGGTGGCGGGTCCGCGACCTGGTGGCGGGTGGGGGGTCAGCTACCTGTAGGCGGGGTCAGCTTCCTGGTGTGCTACCTGGTGGTGGGTCAGCTACCTGTAGGCAGGTCAACTACCTGTAGGCGGGTCAGCTACCTGATGCTGGGTCAATTACATGTAGGTCCACTTCTTGGGGGCGGGTCAGCTACCTGTAGGTAGGGTTTCTTCCACGGAGCTGTGTCGCTGTTTTTTCGTATTGAATGTGAGTTATTGTCTTTCAGCAAAACCCTTCTGACAGCGGTGGGATTCGAACCCACGCCTCCGAAGAGACTGGAGCCTTAATCCAGCGCCTTAGACCGCTCGGCCACGCTATCGTGTAGCACAGCCAGCCCGCTGACCTGCCGCAGTGGCAGGTCAGCTACCTCAGCTGTAGGTGAGTCAGCTACATGTAGGCAGGTCAGCTACCTGGTGGCGGGTCAGCTACATGTAGGCGGGGTCAGCTACATGTAGGCGGGTCAGCTTCCTGGTGAGGTACCTGGTGGCGGGTCAGCTACCTGTAGGCGGGTCCACTTCCTGCGGGCAGGTCAGCTACCTGGTGGCGGGTCAACTACATGTAGGCGGGTCCGCTTCCTGGTGGCGGGTTGAATGTGAATTATTGTCTTTCAGCAAAACCCTTTAGACAGCGGTGGAATTCGAACCCACGCCTTTGAAGTGACTGGCGCCTTAATCCAGCACCTTACACAGCTCGGCCAGGCTATCGTGTAGCACAGCCCACCCGCTGACCTGCCGCAGGTCAGCTACCTGTAAGCGGATGTGCTTCCTGGTGGCGGGTCAGCTACCTGTAGGCAGGGTGTCCTCCATGGAGCTCTGTCGCTGTTGACTATGGTATTGAATGTGAATTATTGTCTTTTCAACAAGACCTTACTGACAGCGGTGGGATTCGAACCCACGCCTCCGAAGAGACAGCAGCCTTAATCCAGCGCCTTAGACCGCTCGGCAACGCTATCGTGTAGCAGAGCCCTCCCACTGACCTGCCGCAGTGGCAGGTCAGCTACCTCAGCTACCTGTAGCTGGGGCAGCTACATGCAGGTGGGTCAGCTACTTGGTGGGAGGTCAGCTACCTGTAGGCGGATGTGCTTCCTGGTGGCGGGTCAGCTACCTGGTGGCGGGTCAACTACCTGTAGGCAAGGTGTCCTCCGTGGAGCCGTGTCGCTGTTGAATTTCGTATTGAATGTGCGTTATTGTCTTTCAGCAAAACCCTTCTGACAGCGGTGGGATTCGAACCCACGCCTCGGAAAGAGACTGGAGCCTTAATCCAGCGCCTTAGACTGCTCGGCCACGCTATCGTGTAGCACAGCCCACCCGCTGACCTGCCGCTGGTCAGCTACCTGTAAGCGGATGCGCTTCCTGGTGGCGGGTCAGCCACCTGTAGGCAGGGTGTCCTCCATGGAGCTCTGTCGCTGTTCACTATCGTATTGAATGTGAATTATTGTCTTTCAACAAGACCGTACTGACAGCGGTGGGATTCGAACCCACGCCTCCGAAGAGACTGGAGCCTTAATCCAGCGCCTTAGACCGCTCGGCCACGCTATCGTGTAGCACGGCTCGCCCGCTGACCTGCCGCAGTGGCAGGTCAGCTACCTCAGCTTGCTGGTGGCGGGTCAGCTACCTGGTGGCGGGTCAACTACCTGTAGGCAAGGTGACCTCCGTGGAGCCGTGTCGCTGTTGAATTTCGTATTGAATGTGAGTTATTGTCTTTCAGCAAAACCCTTCTGACAGCGGTGGGATTCGAACCCACGCCTCCAAAGAGACTGGAGCCTAAATCCAGCGCCTTAGACCGCTCGGCC